TGAGGTTGAGAGTGGCTCAAGAATTTCCTCAAGGTCACATTGATGCATGGTACCTAGTATCTCTTAACTGCAAGTCTTTTCCCAAACGTTTCCCCCAAGAGTTATGTTAGCGGGTGGAAATTTGGTCAAATAAGTTTTTAAAACACTATATTAAAGAAAGTTAAATGGGTTTCTTCCCTGCAGGACTTCTCAGAGCTTTTGATATGCTGCTAATAATCACTGTGAAACTCCAAGAAGGCTTCTATATTAAACAGTATTTACAAAATTTATTTGGTCTCAGCCAGGCATCTGGCCGAACTGGCGTTCCAGGAAACATCCTTTGGGGCCAGCTGCCCATTCAGCCTCTCAAAAACTGAAAGCCAGGACACTGGATTAGGCAGCATGGATTCCTCCACTTATTAGCTGGGTGACCTTGGGCAACTCCTTAACCTCTCTGCACTGGAGTTTCCTCCTTTGTAAAACAGGGAGTCAGGGATTCCTTCATTCCACAGCTGTTTATTGGGTGCACGCTGACTCTGCCAGGAGCTGTTCTCCACATCACTGAGGGCCGTCAGCGTCAGTGTCAGCGTCACATTGAATGTGACAGACGGGAGTGCATTCCAGGGTCAGCACACTTTTTCTGTAAGAGACCAGATAGTCAATACCTTAGGCTCCGGGGGCCACACGGTCCCTGTTGCAACGACTCCCTCCTGCCATTGCAGTGGGAAAGAAGCCACAGACAAAACACGAACAAATGGGCATGGCTGTGCGCCAATAAAACTTTATTCATAGACACTGAAATTTGAATTTCCTGCAATTTTCACGTCACAAATAATATTCTTTAAAATTTTGTTTCAACCATTAAAGATGTAGAAACCATTCTTGGCTCATGAGCTGCACAGAAACAGGCAGCGGGGGTAGGATCCGCCAGCGCGTTTAGTTTACCCACCCCTGTACTGAGCGGTGTTACTGTGAGGATTAAGTGAGTTAATCCACATCCGCACTTAAAACAGCGCCAACAAAATGTGATGTTCTTGCTACTTAAATAAATTTTGCTATGACGATGCCCGTCTGTGTTGAGTAGAACTGGTTTCCAGAGTCAGAATGAAATGAGGAACTGTCACAGGGCTGGGAACATAAAAAACGTCCTAGTGTGAACTGTCGGGACACCCTCCCCCCACTTACACGTGTCTCCATTCCCAGGTCACTGTCACCCCTGGGTAAAATTGTCCACTTTTTGGATTCATCGGCTTCTACAGAAGAGCGGGGAGTCCGGCCGGGTGTCGGAGGTCCCGCCTCTGCTCAGCAGGCCACCAAAGAGGTCCCCATCTCTTGGTGGCCGCACAGGCGAGCTGGCCCATCTGTCCACTGCGACATGATGAAGAGCACTGGCGGCTGCTGATTGTTCTGAGATGAATAGGAGGCGCTTGCAATTCTCCCTCTGATGACCCGATTTGTTTGCTGTCTTCGTGGGCATTGTCAGGATGAGCGCTGCAATCAAGAGCCGCCTGCAACTCTACAGTAGAATTTATGAGAGGGTCTTGCCTCTCGGGAATGCCTCAAATTCGCGGTTTCCACTCTGGCAGACTGTTGGAACTCTGGCCAGTGAGATAACTCTACTATACACTCCTCCAAACAGGTACAAATTCCTTTAGCTGCAGAGAGGGAATGAACACCATTTATCCGTCTACCTTGCTCCTGTGCACAGAGCTCTCCCCATTCTGGGCTGCCGTGACGGCTGAATTACTCAGGCTGGAACCACGGTTCTCATCTAGAATTCACTCTCCCTGAGCATTATTTGTGGCTGATCTAGTGGTTTGTAGCTCAAACTTCTCTGTGCTAGGAGCTTGTGACATCTGTGCCTGAGTGCGAAAATCTCATTCTCAATTAATAACTACATATGTGTATATATACATGTGTATGTACATATATGTAACCCAGCAACTAAGACTTACTAAGCTTCTACTGTGCGGTGTTGCCAGGCGCCCTGCAGCTAATTCTCTGACTCTAACATTTTTTTTTCCGAGGAAGATTAGCCCTGAGCTAACATCTGCCACAAATCCTCCTCTTTTTGCTGAGGAAGATTGGCTCTGAGCGGACATCCGTGCCCATCTTCCTCTACTTTATACGTGGGACGCCTACCACAGCATGGCTTGCCAAGCGGTGCCAAGTCCGCACCCAGGATCCGAACCGGCGAACGCCAGGCCGCCGAAGCAGAACGTGTGAACTTAACTGCTTCGCCATTGGGCCAGCCCAAACCTTTTTCTTTTTTAATAATAACAGGGCAGTGATCATCATGTAAACAAAAGCAATCTTTTAATGAAGGAAAGCCGTATTACTTGTAACACTGTAGACACAGAAACACAGAGCAGCTGTTAAAAATCCACTGACTATTTACATGTGGCCTTAACCAACGGCTCCTTCCTCTGGGCCAGGAAAATAAATAAATAAGAATGTAAAAACAAGGTAAAACAATCACAAAACAAACCCTTCTCATTCGTTCCTGGTGTTGACATCAGTGAAGCATTAGAATGAATGTTCAGAAAAACTTTTTGCTGCCTGATGTTAAAAACACAGCAAAACACAAGCAACCACTGGAGCACGGGCCCCGGCGCCTCGGCAGAGAGCCGGGCAGCAGTCCGAGAGGAGGCAGAGCAGCCTGGGGAGGCCAACTCGCCCAAGGTCACCCAGTAGGTGGAGGTGGGAGTCTCGTCCAGTTCTGACTCCAAAGATATATTCTGTCGTTTCCAGGAATCACATCCGTTTGGTGTTCTGCCCTGTTATTCGAGAGTCCCTAAGGTTGACAAAACCGGTGCAACAGCCTGGGCAGGTCCCCATCTGGCCTACATGGCAACACCCATCGTGGCTGGCAGGCCTGTGCGGCTGGCATTTAAAGCCACAGCGCTTCACACCGGCTCCTCCTGCGGTCCTGTGTTGAACAAGGAGCTGAGCCTTTTGAAGAGTTGGGTGTTGGATCTTTAGTTCTCTCCTTTCCTGATGCCTCCAAGCTGGTCTTCCTCTCGGAATTACTATGGGAGTGCCCCATAATTGAAGAGTTGATTAAAAACTGCCTTGTAGGATTCCCCAATTGCTTTGGGTGGGTTTTATCCAGGCCAGTGAGTTTTACCTCACAGGAGCATGGGGTCGTGATGCCCCTACGGCCGTGTTGAGGATTCTGAGTGAATTCATCCGAAAGAGTACTGTGATTGATTAGTCATGTCTGGCACAAGCTCGAGGTGGGAAGACCACCACTGTGGGTGGTGTCACTTATTTGCCAGGTCTGGGTCAAAGGCACCTGCAGCAGCGGGCCAATTGCAGTCTATGCTCTCCTCTCCACATATTCATCCTGTTTTGCTGTTTCTTTGCACAGCTCTGGACTCATAGTTGGGACTACAGAAATGCCTGTTCACTGGAGGCCTTACAGGGAACTGCCCCCCCCCCCCCCCCCCAGCCTCGTGGTTAATGCCTTTCCAGAAAGAAGGCAGGCTGACCGGCAGAAGATTAACACCTGGCTATCTACTTCCACTCCAGTGTCTGTCCAGATCCAAGCCCCTCCCCATCTTTCCAGACATGTCCTATGATCTTTTCTAGAAAAATCAGAGCCTTCCCTGCAGTATTCAGTGGTCCATTCCTATGGGACTTGACAGAGCCCAGGCTGCTGAAAGATAGTACTTTCCTGACAAACGCCATTAACGGCAGCCAGTTCAGAACCTGGCTTCTTTTGATGATTGGCAAACAAGACCTTGATCAAGAGTTTTTAATCCTAACACAAGGATGGCTCTGAACCTTCCCTTGCTATGATTTCAGTTTCAGAACTGGTGGGCAGTGAAGGATGAGACAGACCAAGGACCTCCCCGACATCCCTCATCTTCTCTTCCCTGGCCCAGGCAGAGGCTGGGTGGTTTCCAGCTCACAAGATGACCAATAAGCCTGGGCACTTTCCAGTTTAAAACATCATCCTACCCCAGACAAGATTAATTCAGCAAGAGCTTCTTACCATGATGGTGTCACCGCCGGGGCTTAGTTGTCGCCTCCCTTCTCAACTTCCCAACTGGAAAGAATCCACCCTCCCTAGAAGAGCTCCTTGCACTTTCACTGCAGGGGCCGCCTCTCGCTGCTTGTCCACACCTACGGTGGAGGGCAGCTTCCATCCTCTCCAAAGGATGGTACCAGCACCACCAGCAGTGGGGACCCTCATAAAGGACCCCTCAGGTGCCAAAGCATGCTGACGGGCAGCGGTTAGAGCTGATCGCCTGTCTGCATCCACAATGAGGCCCAGGAAACATCAGAGACACCCTCTGATCCCTGCCCTTTAACCCTTCGAGATCCTTTCCAAGACTTTGCAGGAGCCAGACTTAGCTTAAGACTCAGTACGGAAAACAAAGACAAAGGAAAACAGTGTTTGCCAAGTTTTCTTTGACCAGGGACAAATCCACTTTCAAGTTACGGACCTGCACCATTCATACTGTCTTCTTCTCAGTACTAGTTCAAGTGCAGAGTCAGGACAGAGTGTCATCTTTGAGTGGTTTCCATACTCTTTGGAAGGTTAGTGGCTGCTGTGACCTCAGCAGCAGGCTTCCTAGCAAGAGGCTATAAGCCAGCTTTCCTCGTGTGGCTTTTAGGTTTCACATTGCGTTTCATTTACATCTGAATCACAATTTACCCAACTGCATTTGGCCAGAACCGGTTGGTCTTGTGAAGGTTTTCCATCATACAAAGAATTAACCATTGCTAGCCATCATCTCCACTTCCTTCTTTAAATCATTGCAACCTATCTCAAAGGATGCGCTTGGAGACACTGGTTCGTTTTCTTCCAAGATTCCGCCCTTCTTTTGTTTAATTACAGTTCCTACTGCAGCTCTGAGCCATGTAGTAAGGCACACGCATCAACTTCAGCTTCTGATGAACAACTCAAGGACTGACTTACACTCCTAGTCACACTGGAAACACTCCACAAGTTAAAAATCTGGGTACAAAAGTAATAACTTCCCTAAGGGTTAAAATCTACACAGACAAAAATAAAGATTTCAATGTAAATTTTACTATTTTATTTGTGAAAAAACTACAAGCAGAATTCATAAATAGACATTTCTATTTAAAGCAGGAAAATGATAAAGTGGCTTCTAATAACATAGTCGTGCACATGCCAGTAACAGGAATATATTAACATCTTTTATTTGCTAGACAAAGAGCAGTGTCCAATATAAATTTCCCCAAAACATTTAAGACCTGTGAATTTCTGACCAGTTCACAAAACCACCAACGGACACTTTAGCATGAAGAAAAACCAAACCTAACAGACTGTCAGCTCTAAAGACATCACAGAGCAGGAACTTCCCAAAGCGTTATACAAGCTGTCTTTCTGGGCAAATGAAAAATATAGCTCGTATAATACATTAACAAAAATTCACAAGATAAGATTATGTTTTGACATACTTAACAAGCATTCTCTATTTGTCTCCAACAAACAAAGCTAAGGAAATAATGTAACCATCTTTACACAGTAAATTAAGGTTACAAGTCATACACAAGAACAGAACTGCTTGCGCATTAAAAACTGTTCAGCTCCATTGTCATACTCTAAATGTTGGCTCTTAAACCATTTTCGGTTACATACAAGCAAAGGTTATTATATATTCAGCAATTAATAAATTTTCAATAATTTAAGATATGGTAGCTTAAAAAAGTAGACTGAGAATGGTCTTGATAAGGCAGGTGAAACATCTTAGTGGAACTAAACTCACAGAAGCTTCTGCCAATGTTTCTAAATATCCAGATTGAAACTGAAAGGTTTTGATTAAAATATTTTGTGGGTGTCAAGACATCTTTAACTTTTTTTTTAACTGCATGACTCAAGCAGAGCAAGTCAGGTAAGCTCTGTGTGTGCGCACGCACGGGTGTGAAAGATCGTGTGGTATTAAAACAAATGGAAACTTGCAAGCGTAACACTGTGCTTTTGTTTTTTTGTTTTGTTTTTATAACCTGCTTACGGTGCCACTGAATACCAAGTATTTCTGGTCCTCTTTTAACATACATCTTTATAATCTACACTAGTGTTTTTACGCGCTGCCTACTAATCGTAGGGCAGGCTGCAAATGCAGGAAGGTACAGGAATTCCATCTCCAGAATGAATGCCTGAGGGATGTCAGCAATTTCAGAAACTAAGTCTAAAGTACCTACCACCTCACTACTCAACAGAATACACAACAGCAGCTAAAGGTCCGGCCCATGAACGCCCGGTTGCTGAGAAGTCCCACGGTCAGCTGCAGTTTCTATCAAAAGGGCAATTTCATCTCTCCTGTTCTAAAGCAATTCTTCCTTCCTTCACACCCTCCCCAACTCTTTAATTTATTCTTTAATTTCTCACGGAGGCAAAACTGAAAAACCAAGACATTGGCAATGAATTAATTAGCAGCCTATGAGTAGCTGGTTAATCAGCTTTTTCCACTAATCTAGGGGTCCAATCACTTTACATGAAACTAATTTTGAAAAAGTACACAGTGTCTCTGAACAAAGTGCATAGCAACACTTACTGGTTCAAAAAGCAGTGCAACCCATGTGAGTTTGGTGGCATTTAAATTTTTTTAAAAAGTTAATTTAAAAACTTAGCAATTCCTTACATCTCTGGAAAATAAATATGGCTGACTAATTTACCCTCCCTGAGACCCTTAATAAAAGGAATATTAAAAGTTTAGAAGGAATGTCTTTGCAATATCCCACTAATATTAAAATGTGGATTTAAAATTCATAGTCAAATCACTATGTATTATATATTCTGATGCTTACAGAAAGCATCCGATTTCCTTTGGTTCGTTAATAAATACTTTACAAATGTATTCAAAAAGATAAGCATAGTTTGCATCCCAAATACAAGCACTATTTTAAAAAGAGGGGAACATTGTCCATGCATTTGAGAATAGGACCACAGCAACAAATGGCACTGCTTTATAATCTACACCTTTGAGAAGAGAATTTAAATTATGGTACATTGGTGACTATAGAATAGTTTTAATGTAAATGTGAAAGGAACCTTTCCTGTTGGCTACTCAAATCAAGCTGTTAATTTTTTTTTTACTCGTTGCCTCCACACACAGAAGATACTTCTATTCTTAAGGAAGCCAGGTTTCTCACACCAAAACGTGGTGCTTCATCACAAATCAGCTGCCCTCCCGTGAGTCCCTACAGTACGATCAAATAAAGGAAGGGAACGCCAAGTTCCCACCCGTCAATGAAACGCCCCTGAAGTCTAGGAATTCTGCCAATGCCAATGTTTAAGAGTCAAACAGAAGAGACCCTAAATCCAAACAAAGCCAAACAAAACAAAACATTCTAAAAATGAGAAGGGTGGAGTCAAATTAGTGGTTTTGTTTTATTATTTTTGCAAGACAAAAAACAAAAAAAAAAGGAGGAAACTGTAAAAGAGAGTTTACTCCAGCTATCTTTGCGTTGAGGAAGAAAAGCTCACACACTCGCAGGAAGTAAGAGCTCTCCAGGCACCTCTGGCTGCTGGAGCTCAGACCATACCCGGTTCCTCCCACCGCAGGGAGCTGAGAAACGTCCCCCAACAGGGAAGAGCTCCACGTGGGGACTGGAGGTGTGGCTGAGAACCTTGGTTCTAAGAAAAAGAACTCTCCCAACTGAACTGGGTGGGGAGGGAAATGAGGGGTTCAACTACAAAAACCACCCCTGCCACGGCACGTGCCAAGTGGACACAGGGATTTGCTTCTCGTATGGACCAAAAAGACAGTTCAGACGGTTTTAATCCTAAAACTAAGAGACAATTTATAGATTTACCTCAGACATGAGTAGAGGCCTGGAAAATGGATGGAATTCAAGCTACAGAATACCATATTTTCATGAGTGCTTACGTAAGAACAGCAATGTTAACATGTAACCGTAATTTACACGAATACTTGGCATTCTGGAGCTAGTTTAGTTATTTTGAACCATCAAAGCTCTCCCAACTAAACCACTTGTGATTTGTCAGTTCATTCCATTGCAAATGCAGGCTATCTGGAGCAGTCTTTAAATTTGAGATCACATTGTTAAAAAATATATATTTTTATATCGTCCAGTACTCTTTAGACAGATGAGAGACTCAAGTTCCCACGTGGGTTGGAACATACTTCATGTAAGACTGATTTTAATTTAATTTCAGCTCTTTCATAGAAGGGACTGTCCCAGATCTGTAACTGTTCAATGTTGTATTCACTTCACAGTGTATCAAGCACCAGCGTTGCCATGGATTGGTTTCAAATAACCCTTTATATATAATTTTATATTTATATATATATAGTTATATCAAAACTGATAGTACATAGTATAACTGGAAGAAAGAACTAAACTTAAAAGGATATGCTGAAAGGATGGAGTTTGTGAACACAATAAATAAAAGTTCCCTCCCCCTCCCAGCCCACCCCCCAACAAAACAAAAACAAAAAACCAGTTGTAATGTACATGGAAAATTGTGCACAGCAGATTTTTTTTTTTTTATAAAAAGTAGATTCAGGAGCACATCCAATTATAAATGATTGTTAGGAAAATCATATAAAACAATGGAATACATAAAAGTGTCAAGAGTAATCGTCAGGGTGCGAAATTCCTTGGTGGCCAGATGCCCATGGCAAGCAGAAATCATCCTGGCAGCATCACTAAGAGGTCGATGTCCACAGAAGATTCTCCAGGGGTGCAAGCAGCATGGGCAGGTGGAGGATTTGAATTTCATACCCTGATTCATAGTTTTCACAATTCCATGTGCAATTTCAGAAAGATTCATCATTTACTGCTGACATGTCGCCCTTTGGCGTGGAGGAACGGGAGGAGCCCTTGTCTGTGCTCTCCGATCCCGAGCTGCTCTGGTTCTGCTGTTCTGACCCTGCACTGGAGGTCACTGTGGATGAGGATGTCGAGGAGGAGCGAGTCTTTTCCTTAAAGTCTGTGATAATGACGGTGACGTTGCCCACAGTTACTGCCAACTGCTGTGCGGTGCTCCTGTCCACGTTTTTCAGCCGGGGCCTGAAAGCAACATCACAGGGGAACAGCCTATTGAATAAGCCAGGGATTCAAAACGACTCTTGGCAGAACGTCATCAACACACACATAGACTTCATGACCCTCTGGCAATGAATCTAAACTGCCACCCCACATACCAGAGCTTACTACAAAATCTGCTGATTAACCTCGGCAACAATAGAAACCACCAGCAGTTAGTAAAGCTTTGGCACACTGCAAAATTATCATCAATTTCTCTCTCTCCTGTGCTGGCCGCAGTGATATAAAAGTAGCTCACATATATACACACACATATACTTTAAAAGTTAACAATCCCACACCTAGCTCTTCACTCCACCCCTTCTCAGCCTACAAACCCAGAAGGACAAAACCACCTTGGGTTCTTGATTATGACTAAGCCCATCAGAGCAGCAATTCAGTCTTGCCTTCTAGTCTCAATTACCTTGAGGTGTGATTCGTTTCACTGGTCTTTGTTGTAGCATTTGCAGACTGTATACTGTTTGCTTCGCTAGGAGGATCTTTCAGAATATCAGACTTTGGTCTAAAAGGGGAGGATACAAAAAGAGGCATTTAAAAGATGTATTTGATTCACCTGCAAAATAATATCCTGTACTGAGTGATCCAGGAACTTACTTTGTTTTCTTGTTGGTATTTTTCTTGGTAACACTAGGACTAATTTCCTTATCTTTCTCAGGTTTCTCTTTGTCTTGCTTTTCAACTTTCTCCTTCTTCTCCTTTTTAGGGGGTGGTGGAGTGGCATACTGTTGTGCCACTTGTTGTGCCACCAGCTGAGAATTGATCCGAGGTTTTCTAAAACATTCAAGAAAAGACACATCAACAGTTGCTCTATAAATATCTCTTTAATTTTTTAATTTTGGTCTCATAATTTCTTAAGTATTTTATTTATCACTGCTATCTGGGAACTCAAAACGAAATTATATAGTATTATTTCTACATTATTATTTTTATGTAGTATGGATAAGTTCATAAAACTTCTCCTCTTTCAAATATACTTCGTGTCCATCTACCTTTAATGACATATACACGTGTACTCACACAAACACATATCTCTGTGCAGTAAAAAAAGTCTTTCCGCCAACAAAACATGACACTGTTTCTAAGAGTGCTGAGAATTCCACTTCTTTTGAGCTGTCAAGATTATACTGACTGACAGCTTTCAAATACTCCTGCTCCAGAGGGTTAATCTCATTTTATTAAATGGACACTGGTAATCCCTTGAAAAGAGAATGAAATTAGAAGTGTGACATTCACTCCTCAATCTAATTATTCCAACTTGGTCTGCTCCCCTGCAGCTCTGTGACTGGCATGGACAACACACACAGAGCAACAGAAGGTAAGTGTGGTTCATACTAGCTCTCAACGGGATGAAGACTGAAAGTCACTATAAAAAAAAATCTTAGACAAGTGATACATTCATTGTGCCATCAACCATTATGTCCGCGCCAATCTCCAACTGACACTGGCTCTTAACACTATTGTTTACAAATTCTAAGTGGTGCCAAACACTTTTCACAACGCACGACCATTCAGACGCAAATAGGAAAGGGAGAAAGGAAAGCCTATGCATTACTTCTATACAATATTAATTTTCAAAGACATTGCCATCTAGATCAAGGTTCACAATATAATAAACTCTCCAAGTACAAAGCAGGAAACAAATATCCAGACGGGTCATTCAAGAGGTAAAACAACTGGCTGCCACAATGTAATGATCACCTTCAGATTGCACAGCACCCTCTCCACTCCCCAGGACAGAGGAGCTGGCTGCAGAAAGATAACTGGACAGACTAGATGTGGCTCATCACTGGGAGAGCCAGTGGTGGAGGACTGGAAAAAATAAAAAACAAACCTAGGAAAAACAAAACAAAACAAAACAAAGCTTCCTTCTTCAGTAATTCTGCCATTCTTTGCAAGAAAACAACCAACCAAAAAGAGAGTTGCTAGATACATGACATGCTGACCCCAAAGTTAAGCATGGTTACTGGAGCATCTCTTGGGAGCGGCTGTGATGTGGTTGAGAAGGGATGCAAGACGAGCGGACAGATGCTTCCTCCATGACTTCATCAAGGTGAGCCTGAGGTGGAGGCACTGAGTTTGTTCTGAGGGTTTCAGTACTAGTCCAGTGGTGGTGTGGCTTTGCCAGAAAACAAACCAACAAAGGTGCAATCTCAGAGCAAGTTTCCTACCGGCCCTTGGCAACACGGGCCTTGGTCATGGGGTGGCACACCATGAAACCCAGTCACAGGTACATCTCAGCCTGCATCACAAGTGGCCTCACTTGTCACTGAGCAAGGGATTCAAACACAGATGTGAAGGACCCCTACAGAAAGGGAGGACTGTACTTATTCTAAGCCCCGCACCCCCAAACACACAAAGGACCCCATGTGAAAGGTAACCTCTTTTCACAGGTTCCAACAAAGGGAGCAACAGGCATTCTAACACATTCTACTCCTTCAAAGAGGAAGTGTGACTGTGTTAATGCTTACAAAGAAGATAATCACCACTACAAGACACTTCATAAGCACTCACTGGGGACACAAACAGATCAGCTGTCTATGGGGATTGCCAAGCAGTTTAAATCAGAGTTAACAACAAACTGCCCTACACTAACCAATATTCGGGTGTCAAAGTGAAATAACTCAGCCAGAGTTAATACTGTGGATAAACCATTAAACCTCTATGAAAAAGTATACCTTGACAGAGAGTGCCAATTAAGCTAGTTTGCGTCCTTTACTCAGAGAAGTTGGACAGAAGAACAGGAGACACCTGGACACCAGTCTAAGAACCTTCACAGAGAGAGAATCAAAGGTAAACCAGACGCCTGCCCCACACCACTCCCAGCCCAATCACCAGGACCACCCCATCTGAGCTAGAGGTGCCCTACAAAGTCCTACGGTGTCACTTACCACGCGGCACTGTAACTGCCAATCAACTGTATACTCCTCGATGGCAAGGCCACGTACTAATCATCTTTGTTACCATGACCTTCAGCTAAGTGCCAGGTACTCAATGAAACTGTCTACTCTATGAATAAAGAGTAAACATAGAGTGCAGAGAAAGGCAAAGTAGGATGAGGACTAAGAAGGCCCAAGCTTTTGGTGACCAGGAGGTCACTGTCAACTTGCAGGAGAACAAGCCACATGGGATCAGGCTGCAAAGATTAAGAGACTAAAGGCTGTCAGAGGAAGAACAGAGAGGCGGGAAACAGGAACCCTTCTTTGAGAACTGTGGTGCTGAGGTAAAGGGCAGCCCTGGCCACTGCCCAAAGGGGTAAGCAGGGTTTGAGGAGCTTTCTACAGAGACGGGAGACTTACATCATGTGTACACTGAGAGGAAAGAAACTAAAGGCAGGCAAGAGAGCGGGAGTAACTTGGTGGGGGGCGGGGGGGGGTGGTGAGGGGAGAGGGAGTGGCACAGGAGAGAAAGAATACCATCAAGAACATTCCTGGAAAAGAAGTGGGGACACTTTCTTCTGAGACAGGAGCAGGATGCTAGGTAAAGGGGGATTGTGGGCAGAACTGGAAATGAGAAATCAGAGAAGAGAATCAGAAACCATGGACATTAGAGTAGCACCTGCTTTGGTGCGTAGCAGGCGGCTAACAGCAGAAAAGAGAGCTAGTGCAGAACAGAGAAAAAAGGAGTTCCTCGTGTCTCACAAACTGCCCTTATCAGCATGAGGAGGAGCTCTCACTACCCAGACATCATGCTTCTCCAGAATGGACTATCCCCTAACGAGGCTGGCTTGCCAAGGCTCTGCGCGTACCAGAGACAACAGGTGAGGTGCCCGTCTGCGTGCTTCTGCCACGTGATCATCTCCTAACTCTCGAGCAGACGCTCTCAGAACCGCTCTTCAGCACCTGCACCACAATCCAGTATCTACAGGACAACTCCACATGCACAAAACGTAAATTCAGCTGTGGCTCCTAATATGTGGCATGTGTGCAGAACCACACGCATGTTTTCACTTGCTCCTAGGAAAATCAACGTTTGAGTAGAATGGTGGGATGTGTTCCTCTCTCATGAGCAACCAAACCAAAATTTCACAAATGAAAAGGATCAAGGCTAACTGAGATCTGATGCTTACCAAGAACTGTGGGCTGACTGCTAAAACCACCTGTGTTGTTTCAAAAGTACTGCTGTGTTCAAAATGTCCTATGATGTCCTAAGGAGCCACCTAACTCTTTAGACATCACCTGCCCCTTCCTCACAGAAAACCTTCAACAACAGGTGAGCGCTTATTACTTTAATTCTCAGAGCTGCTTTTTCAAACTAGTTCCCCAACAAGTCCCAGAGTACTTCAAGGTCAGGGAAGGAGGGAGGGGTGGGGAAATACTAACTCTGAAAAGGTACCGAGTTTCTGAACCAAGTGCGTACCAACACTCACTGGTTCCAAAAGCAGTGCAAACCTTTGAGAAGGGAAGGTATAGAAACTAGAGGGGCCACGATGTGAGCCCTCACAGGTTAAGGGGCCACCCTGTCAGAAGTGTCCGGCAGCTCTTGCCGTCCATCCCCTCCTTACTGCCAGGCCAAGATGCTCTGACTGCACGTGAAAGAATGGGAATGCCCAATCTCCAGTGAGAGAGCTCCACACACTCCACCCCCGGAGGCCACGCTACGTCCTCCAGATTAGACATTACAAATTGCACCTGAAGTAGGAGAGGCCGAACCATTTCACAGCCATCACGGGACAGGCACACCATGAAGCCAGACTTAACACAACATCCCCAAGAGGAGGAACTGTTGTCTCCATTTCACAAATTAAGACAACGGAGGAGCAGAAAGATTAAGAAAGCTGTCCAAGGTTTACAGTTAAGCGGCTGAGCTGGGATTTCTAACCCAGATCCATCTGGACTCGGCATGGACTCCTCTTGTGAAGGTGACCTCAACTGAGCCTTCCTCCGCCTTGGAAGAGCCCAGACTTGTATTTAATAAGCGTGTGTGTGCGTGATGTGACTCGGGCACAGGGTAGGGGTCAACCCAGGCTACAGTTTAGCCAGACATATCCCTGAGAACCTCATTTCCCTCATTAGCCTCACCATCCTCACTCTGGCCAGAAGAGGACTACTTGGCTGTCCTTAAGGAAAGAGAAAAGGGCAGGGGGGTGCTGGCAAGAATGATTTTAACTGCCTTTGGAACATTCCCTGTAAGGAATGAGTCTTCATCATATTTCCCACTTCCCACAGATTTACGTTGCTTGATGAAGTCTTTTATGCACCATACAATACTCTGCAAATAGCTGGTTTAATAGGCGGAACTCTGAACACGCAGAGAGCCAACTCTTCAATACAGAGCTGAGAGTCTGGCTTCTACAGAATTACCTAAGTTTCCCAAGTAATGAACTTTACACAAGCAATTACCATCCTTCACAATACAGTGGAAAACATTAGATCCAAGTTCATAGCTTTGGGTGTCTAAACCTAAAATTAAAGGCAATCAATTCCCCCTCCGCACCCGCCACCAAGCCTACTAGACTAGAAATGCTGTACCATCAACAGAGGGCCAGTTTCCCTTTATGAGTATGTTTGGCACCAAACAAGTTTTGGTATCTTCTTCAAGACTGTAGTTTTTATGACAAAAATTTCATCCTCTTAAAATTATTTTATAAATTTACTGTTGCTATTTCAATAGAGTTTACAAACGAAAATCTGCTGTGAAATTTCAGTAGCAGACATCATAAGGAAAACACACCTATTTATTTGCATTAAACAGCTAATATTTCAGAAGAGAGTCCACTCCATAAAAAGTGAAGCAAATCTTTATCCAGGGACATATGTAATTTTTGAAAAGGA